AAAAACACAACAAAAAACCACCAACAACAACAACAACAACAAAACCAACACCAAAAAACAGACAAAATAAAACAAAACAATAACAACAACAACAAAAACTACAAAAAAGTAATAACCCCCCCCCACCCGGACAATAGCCAAAACTTAAATTCTAGCATCATTAAAGAGACATTATTATTTTTCTGAAGGAATACGTTTGTCCCCGTTCTATATTTTAGACTGGGATTTCAACAACAAAGAAAGTCTACTCATGAAAATAAGATCAAACACAAAATGAGCACAAGCAATATTACCAGTTGCGTGTTTATAAATGCATTGGGCTATTGGATTTTATTTATATTCCAAATCCCTTTCTCCCCCACTAGTCGATCAGCACATGTCAAAGTATTGGCGGTTGATCGTGAAGTTTGTTTCTGGGGTCCACCTCGACCATTGTATTGCCAGTTGCCTTTAATCTCCTTGTGCATGTACTTTCCAGTGTTTGCTCGACAGTCTAGTGGTTAGGATACTGGACTCGTAATTTTGGGTTTGGAGGTTCGAGGCTCAGATCGGTTCAACGTCGTATACATGAGAAAGACACTTGACAAGGATTTTCCCATTTTGGCTCAGAGATGGAGGCTATAATGTAGTAAAATGTCCTGCTTCTAAATAAATAATTATATCCTTTTAGTGTTGCACGGGGCGTTATCCTCTTCACTGTTTTCCCGTCGTCTATCCCAATAGAATTATCGATTTTATAAAGGGTTTATGTCATTTAAAATGTAAATTGCTGCTTTTTTAAGTTCAATCTTTTTAAAAACCGGTATTATAATAGATACTTCAACATATTCAACTTACAATGTAAAACCAAACTGTGCTGTGAACTGACACGAAGACAATCAGCTTGTTTTCCATGCGCTCAAATGACTGTACAGAATAGCCTATGCGGTCGAGAGCGCAGCAAAACTATTGAATTCGGAAAAAGGGAGAGGGGGGGGGGGGGGGGTTACTGTGTCCGATCTATCGTAATTAATATTTCAATTCAAGTATGAGTCAAGACAATGTCACCATCGGCGGGCACTTAGTGCTATTCGTGAGTCGCTCCCTGAGGTTACAAGCAACACTGCTGTCCTAGATTGGGATGGAGACGTGGGAAAAGAGCAAAGGAAAATGAGAGAACTCACGTGAACATCGCGCTGAGGGATTATCTAAGTGTACAAATGAGTGTAAGCCAGAATGAAGTAGAGCCATCTCAGTCACAAGACAAGCATGCTCCTAGATTACTTACATTGTCCAATGTAGTTTCTGGTCTTAACATGTGAGAAAATATTAATTAGACACCCCCCCCCCC